GAGTGTTGGTCTTCAAACTCTAAACCGCTCTCTCTTCCTACCCTCCAAAGCCCAACAAGCAAGTAAAATGAAGCAGGAGCGTGTGGCTCTGTGCAGTGAGTCGGGTTATCCTGCAGCCTGAGCCAGCGTCCCCACTTCTGGGCCACATCCAACTACTTTGGCTGCTCCATCCCAGGATGGAGGCTCCGTGCCCATGAAAAACAGAGACCTCACCCTAAATGAAAAGAGGAGTATCTTTCAGACACGGCGTCTTCCAGACAAAACTTGCATTGTGTTTAAGAAAAGCTGAGGGGCCAATGCTGACACAATTTTCAAACCGAGGCAATTTGTCATGGTGTTTGGGTGCAGGGCACTGAATCAGGTAGACCTAGGTTTGAGTCTTGACTCAGCTACTTGCTACATAGATAGTGTTGGGCATGTTACTCTCTAAGCTTCAGTTTCTGTGCCTATAAAGTAAGGATAATAAGTACCAACTACTCTTATTAGGCTTGGAGAAGAAGACTACTTTGGGGCTAAAAGTTAGCACAAGCCCAAGGAGAGAGATGCATTACTTACTAGTGGCCAAGCTAATTACAATCAGGATGCCATTAATGATCCTTACCCTGTGCTAGGTGCTATGCCAAGTGCTTCATATGAATAATTTCATTTAATTCCCACAACAACCCCCATTTTGCAAATGAGGAAACTAAAGTGCAACGTGGTTAATTAACTTGTTCAAGGTCACATATTTTGACCTTGGGTTTGAATTCAGGTAATCTGAGTCTTGAGCCACTTGTTTTAACCACCAAGGTAAGCTGCTCAAAGCCCAGCATGAGTGTAGCTCATTCACCAGTGGTTCTCTTTGGCATTAGGAAATAGGAATGTGGCAAGAACATACAAGTAGCAAGGACATTTTCAATTTTCTTCCTTAGCCAACGTCTTATCTTATGAACCCCCTCCCTCTCATTCCACCTCCTGGCCCCTAAGGAAACATCTCAGGATGGGTGTTAACTAGTTGAGATGTAGCTGGAATGTTGATTGTCAAGAGAAGTAAGGAAAACAAATGGCATGGGTAATCCACGAACTAAGTAGCCAGTTCCAAAGACACTAACCATGGGCAGCCGTTACATCATAGAAGGGAGGGGAGCATTCTCCATGCAGAAAAGAGACTCAGTTTCCATTTCAAAGAGAGAGAGACAGATAGAATGTAAAGCCTTAGCAAGGAAGTCCTATGTGGGTGTATCTGAGTACCAGAACTCACCAAGAAATGTATTCTCAAATAAAATTTCCTTTCTAATTCACTTACAAATACATGAAGGCTCATTGGACTAGAAATACCATTTCTCACAATATTTGTAGCTGATCTTAAAATGTTTTATTTCCTCCCAAAGCCACAGCCATACATGGGGACCAAAGGACATGTCCCTTACCTGTTTTTCCAACAGGACAAGGATTTGGAGGGTCAGGGTAGCCCTGATCCTCACTGAAGTCCTTGGGAATGTTGTCACCAGTCAACTCTGCCACAATGTTTGGGATGTTGCCAAAAGGACCCAAGTGCTGCAGACCTTCATGAGCTCCACCTGCCGGGGGGAATCAGAAGTAGTTCATTTCAGTGCAATTACATTCATGTTAACGAATATTTAACCAGCCATGCCACACATGCAATGCTCTGCGCTCTGTGCGGGGGAGAGAAAAAGAACCAAGCAATTCCTGCCTCTAGTAAAATTTTTAAAATTTAGTTTTAGAAACAGACACATACTATACATATATCTTTTCTACACAAAGTGCATTGTATACGTTCTAGAATAGAAATGTCCACACAGCATCATGGAAGCATAGAAAAGGGGGAGTTTCATTTCACTGATGTGATGGGGAGGGCTTCTTGGACCAGTCGGAAGTTGAGCAGCACTGACTCAGGCGGGTAGGGCTTCAGAAGCTGGGCATGGAGCTTGTGGCCTGGGTGAGGGAAGGTGGGGGAAGAGAAAGGTGAGAACAGGCTGAATGACAACCCTAACCAAAAAGAGTAGATAAAGAAAAAAGTCACTGCCATGCTAGATCAACCACTTCACATTCACTATATTTACTTTAATCATTTCTCCTCTGCATATCTTTTTATACATAAATGTTTATTCATTTTTTACTTAATATTAAAACACAAGCATCTTCCCATGTGGCTGCACAGTCTCTACTCCCATCATTATGAATGGCTATGCAGCTTTCTATCCAGTGGTTCTACCACAGAATATCAATCATTCCCCTGCGTGGGGCATTTAGTGTTTCCCAATTTACTCTTAGGCAGTTCATTTTTCCATGTTTTGGATTAAACTTCCTCAGGATTGATTTCCACAAGTCAAAATACTAGGTCAAAGGCTATAAAGACTTTTATGGCTCCTTGTGTTATATTGCCAAACTGCTCTCCCAAAAAGGAGGTACAAATGTTTGGAGACCTTGAAGATCTCTTTTGTATTACCCTTTTCAGGTAGGGTTTTTATTATAATGATTCTAAAGGTAATAGTGGGTTAACAAATTCTTTTTATTGGAGAAGAACATTGATTTGCATGCACTGGTTTCAACCCTAGCAATATCAAATAAATGGGTAATAAGTTTTGTAAAAGAAAAGAAAAAAAAGGAGGCACAATTTATAAAGTATCTTCAACAAAATATGAGACTATCACTTCTACAGCATCCTTATCAGCACTGGGTTTTATACAAATAATTTTTATGTTTTCTTTGCTAATTTAAAAGGCTCTTAGAAAAAGTACTTTTTATTTGTAATGTCTTTGATTACTGGGTCAGTCAAACATCTTTCCATGTGCTTATTACTAGTTTTCATTTCTTTTTTGTGAGTTGTCTGTTCATGCCCTTGGAACTTCAGTATTTCCAATATAAATATGTATGAACATTTTACATAATAAAGATATCAGGCCATTGGATGTCACATTTTCTGCAAAGGTTTCCCCATGTTGTCTGACTTTGAATTCTGGATATTATGGTGATATTTTCTTTTTTCTTTTTTTTTTTTTTTTTTTACTTCAAAAGTATTTATTGTGTGTTCCTCTTCTTGCTAAGCACTTCACAGGCATTATCTTATTTAATTTGCATAACAATCATATGAAATAGTTATTACTATTAGTGTCATCCCCATTTTATTTTTTAAATTTATTTAAAATGTTTTTATTGATTTTTTAAATTAAATATTTATTGTTCAGATTATTACAGTTGTTCCTCTTTTTTCCCCACATAGCTCTCCTCCACCCAGTTCCCACCCACCCTCTGCTCTTACCCCCCCCAGTCGCCCCCCCGCGCGGGTGCTTAACCAAAAGAGAGCGAGTTGTGTACAGTGATGTTTCTTCAGGCGCCGCCCCGATTCCCCCTGAGAAATTTGCGAACCACCCCCCTTCTGACGCCCCGCAGCGATATAATTCCCCG